GACAGTGCGGGAGAGAGACGTGTTTCGCGATCAATGGATACTGTTTGGATGCTAAATCTCGCGTAATCTGTGCTTTAATCGAGAAGAGAGAAAACAAAAATTAAAAAAAAAACACCCCGTCGTCTTCGCATCGACACTCGGTGAGTATTCGGCGAGAGGAGGAAGATAGCTGCCGCTTTTCTTGAAGGAATTTCTTGCTTTCTTGTGACGCGTTGAAATCTCCAGGCCGCGACTCGGGGAGATTTTCCGAAGGGGATGCTGATAACTTCCTTATTTTAACATTATAGTGAACGTGACACTATCGTATGGTGTGTTGTATATCAAGAAGATTTACTTTTATAATTACGACGGTGTGTTATTTGTTGGTGTTATTGATGGTCTTGTGTTCTTGTTATTTGTTGGTGTTATTGGTGGTCTTGTGTTCTTGTTATAGCAAAGTCAATGGGTAAATTTGGTGTTATTTGATGTTTTTGAACATTTTGAACATACGTTTGACAGTATTATTAAAGTTATCGTATCATAGTCAAGATGTCGTAGGTCATTTATATCTGTCAGCGTTTGTTTATAGATTTGTTTGTTTGTCTCTGTAGTTTCATCTCTTTTCTGTATTTATATGTTGGTTTATCAAGGTACTTACATTATTTACTGGGTATTTTTAGCTATCGGTTCACTTCCCAGCCACCATCTGGGTTGAATCTGCCTAGCTTTTGGTCAACTATTTTGTATGTAAATTTGAGCGCCTTGCTTTCGTTCTCTACTTTCGACGGTTTATATAATTGTTTAATTATCTTCACCGTAGTCACCATCATCCTCATCACCATTATTGTCACCATCATCATAGTCACCATCATTGTCATCATAATTATCACCATCATTATAATCATCATTGCCACCTTTATCACAGTCATTACCATCATTGGCATCATCACAAATATTATCATTATTTTCATCACCATCAACATCCACTCGACACGTATATATATATTTAAAAAAAATTGTGTCAATACCCCGTGTTTTTTTCACTTGTTCCAGGATTTCCTATTATTTCATCAACGTTTCGAAGCATTTCCGGGCGTCTGTCTTTATCACTTTTCACTTTAATTGTCCTATTATGACGTTTATCCTTCTTTCTCCTTCGTTTTCCTATTCTTGATCTATTTGTTCATTCTTTCTTTGACTTGTGTAGTCCGCGCTTTTTCTCTTTAATACTTTATTTTTGGCAGTTTTATCTGTATTTATTTTATTTTATCAGTCTTTTTCTCTCGTCTCTTCTTCCTCATTTGCAATGTCGTTGTCTGGCTGCTTTCCTTTTTTATATTTAGTTTTTCTATTTTCTTAATTTCTCTCTATCTTTCTTCCTATTCTGACTCTCCTCTAATTTCACTATTTCCTCCTTCATCCCTTCTTCATTATTCCTCCTCTTTTCTATTCCCATCACTGCTACATTTTCCCTCCCTTCATCCTTTTTCTCTTTCTGCTTCCTTCCTTCTGTACTCTCACTTCCCTTTTTTCTCCTCTTACGGCTCCCTTCCTCCTCTTCCTCCTCCTCCTCCTCCTCCTCCTCTTCTTCTTCTTCTTCTTACGCCTTTCCCTACCATTTTCTGATATCCCCCACCCATCATCTCTCCCATATATATCCTCGTCCCTTTATCATAATCTCTTCTGTTCCTTACCGCCCTCCTCTTCCCTCTCTTTTCATTTTATCTTTCTCCTCTCCATCATCTCTCCTCTCATCTCCTCTCCTCTCCTTTCTCCTCTCTTCTTTCTTCTCTTCCTTCTCCTCTCTTCTCCTTTCTCCTCCCTCATCTACCTTCTCCTCTCCTTTCTCCTCCCTCATCTACCTTCTCCTCTCCTTTCTCCTCCGCCCTCTCTCCTCTTCTTTTCTTCCTCCTCCAACCTCTCTACTCTCCTTTCTCCTCCTTCCTCTCTCCTCTTCTTTCTCCTCCATCCTGTCTCCTATCCCTTCTCCTCCATCCTCTCTCCTCTCCCTTTTCCTCCATCCTCTCTCCTCTCCTTTTTCCTCCATCCTCTCTCCTCTCCTTTCTCCTCCCCCCTCTTTTCTTTCTCCTCTCCTTTCTCCTCCCTCAAATCTCCTTTCTTCTTCCTTCTCTCTCCTTTCTTCTTTCTCCTCCATCCTCTCTCTTCTCCTCCTCTAACTTCCACTCCCTCTCTCCCTCCCCCCCCTTAAACCCCCCAAGTGCCAATCATGTTCGGTAAAATGGTCTACATTTTTACAATGGTCTAGTTTTTCTGTTTGGCAGTGTCATTTTTATCATCCTCTGTCGTTTTGCCTTTTTCTTTCGGCTCTCCGTGACTGTGCGCATTGGGCAATTTGATGCCACTTCCGCCGGTGGGGGTAATTTGTTAAGAAAAAAAAAGCTTGATCATTTTTGTGATTTATCGGACAGTTGCTTGCCCTATATATCTTTTTTTGGGTGTGTCCGATGCGCTTTTGCATTTGCTGTCTCTTTGAATGTGTTCATGTTCATTCAGAATGTTTAGGTTCAGAATCGGCCGTGTGAATTGTCGTTGATCAATTTTTTTCGCGTGTGTGAGAACGGAAATTGATGATTATTTTTGTCTTGTGTGGCTAATACATGGCCCTCTTTCTCTGACTAAATGGGGAAATTTATTGGGAAATTTATTAGGAAATGTATGTGTATGTGTGAGCTTGTTTTTGCATTATAGACCCTACGCATTTTTGAGTGTGAGCGTATGTATGTACCGGTACTGTACGCAAGAGTATATAGGGTCAGTGTGTACGGGTAATGCATTTGCATTTTCTGTGTTTACCGTAATTACAGGCATACATGTGCGTTCAGTATTGCCTCTCTGTATGCACAACCCCCGAGAAGAACAAAATCGCCGTTGAATCGCGAGCACTTTTTTTTATTAATCTCGTAAATTGAGCCTATTTTTTTGGCCGATTTACCGTTGCTTCTCATTGTGAACTCGCTTCCTAGAATCCATAACAAAAGCAGGTCGGTGTCTGTATATCGTTTTTTTATGCTTTTGTTTTTTTGTTTCCTAGCCTTGCGATTTATTTAATCTACGTTGCGCCTCCGTTACTTACTTGCGCTTGTGAGCTTTTCCTGCTTCTATCTCCGCATCTCGTTTTAGTGTTGCCCTTTCACTCTCTCTCTCTCTCTCTCTCTCTCTCTCTCTCTCTCTCTCTCTCTCTCTCTCTCTCTCTCTCTCTCTCTCTCTCGTTTTACATCGTTCTTTGTGTGTCTGTGTCATGGGATTGATAAGGGAAGCGAGCATTCCACAAAGGGCTTCCGTCGCATTGTGTTAGATTTAACTTTGTCTTTTAAAACAATTATATGTATAAAATGTTCGTCTCCGTTCGTTTGTCTGTTTGTGATTATATTGTACGTGTGTTTGTCTGTTTATTGCTGTATGTGTATGTAGACCTATGTGTGGGTGTGTATTCATTTTATTTATTCATTTTGCCTATCTATTTTTTTTTATCTCGGTCTATCAAAATATGTATTCCTGTTTGTCTATCTATCTATCTATCTATCTATCTGTCTGTCTGTTTGGCTGTCTTTCAATCAGTAGGTCTGAATCTATACACACATGCATGCTTGCACATACATAGGCCCTCATACATACATACATACATACATACATACATACATACATACATACATACATACATACATACATAAATACATACATGCACATACATATGTTCTCATATATACGTACATACATACATGCATACCTGCGCACACCTACTCGCCTTCATACCGACACGGAGCATAAGAATGCATAATCATCATTTCTTAACATGCGGCTTCCAATTCTGTCACACGCGCTGATCTCTGCTAACCTTTAGTTCCGCCACGAGATCTGTTCCCACGTGGCACCCCCTTGGGTTTTTCTCCCACGTGTTCATGTAGACTTTAGGGGGTCGGTGCTGGTCTCTCTCTCTCTCTATCTCTCTCTCTCTCGCGCGCGCGCGCGTGTGCGTGTGCGTGTGCGTGTGCGTGTCTGTCCAGATTCACGTATCTGGCTGCATACGTTGTCTATTTTTTCCGCTTGAGTATTGTTAGTCTTCGGCACAAGTGTAATTCGCATTATGTTTAAAAATAAGTAAATAAATAAATAAGTAAATAGATAGATAAATAGATAAATGAATAAATAGATAGATAAATAAATAAATAAATAAATAAATAAAATACATGATGGCCAGAATCACTGACGAACGCATTGAAATCTCCGGGAAATGCTCGGCGGCGTCCCTCCCTAAGGATTGTGACGTCACCACTCTGGAAGGGTATGACGTCAATACGCTGGAAGGGATGACGTCACCTGTGGTTAAGGGTAGAGGCGTATACCCACGACCTGGACAACAGCCTAAGGCGTATACGGGGAGGTGAGGGGGGACAGGAGAAAGTTCTGGTCTTGTAGCGCGGACTCCGGGTTTGTGTGTGTGTGTGTATGTATGTATGTGTGCGCGCGAGTGTGTGTGTGTGTGTGTGTGTTCATGTGCGAGAGAGAGAGAGAGAGAGAGAGAGAGAGAGAGAGAGAGAGAGAGAGAAAGAAAGGGGGATAAAGAGAGAGAAGAGAGAGAGAGAGAGAGAGAGAGAGAGAGAGAGAGAGAGAGAGAGAGAGAGAGAGAGAGAGAGAAGTGGGGGATAAAGAGAGAGAGAGAGAGAGAGAGAGAGAGAGAGAGAGAGAGAGAGAGAGAGAGAGAGAGAGAGAAAAGGGGGTAATAAAGAGAGAAAGAGAGAGAGAGCGAGCGGGCGAACGCAGACAAGCGAGGAAGGTGAAGCAACAGGTTTGGGGATTATTCATCCTTACCCAAATCCGCCTCCTTCACTTCGGATAATCTTAGGCCAAAGCACGAGGCGTTTTATCCCCTGGGAACGGGATTACCAATAATGAGAAGAAATGACTTTCCAGTTCAGTAATTTTAAGCATTAAGACGTAATGAGGATCTGCCTTATCAAAAATGTCCTCGGTAGGGTTGGCAGCCATGACCCGCCAAATGGATACCGGGTTATAGCTCGTTATCCAATCTGCCATTAATATCCATCTGTCTGTCTATCTATATATCCATGTATATATTTATTTATATATTTTATGACGTGTTTTTAAAATCTGATCTACGTCCTTTTAAGAATATTATTAA